GGCTCCCACCGGCCAGAGCCTGGCAGATCCTCGCTTGGGACCGGGGGCTTCAACTTCAATGCTCGGGTGGAGAGGACCCTCCTGGACGCCCGCAAGAAGCTGGAGGAGGACCAGAAGGACGGGCGCAGGTTCTCCAACCTGGGGAGTCTGCACAGCAGCATTGCCGGGTCTACCAGCTCCCTGGCCAGCCAGGGCTACTCCCGGGCCCAGAACGGAGCCCAGGGAGCCGGAGGGGGAGGCCAGTTCACCCCCATGAGCTCAGGCCTGTCCACGCCGGTGTCGCCCACCCCTGCTCACCTGCAGCACGTGAGGGAGCAGATGGCAGTGGCCCTGCGCAAGATCCGGGAGCTGGAGGAGCAGGTGAAGATGATCCCTGTGCTGCAGGTCAAGATCTCTGTGCTCCAGGAGGAGAAGCGGCAGCTCAGTGTGCAGCTCAAGAGCCAGAAGTTCCTGGGGCACACCATGGGCTTCGGCAAGGGCAGGTCCAGGGGGGAGCTGTATATCGACATCCCCGAGGAGGACAGCACCGGCCCAGTGGCAGCTGCGGCTAGAGGGGGCCCCCTCTCCCCGACCACCCCGGAAGGCTCTCGGCAGGATTCCGGCTGCGAGATAGAGGACACGGTCATCGTGGGGGGAGCCAGGCAGCCGGCGGGGGGCAGGAAAGAGGTGAGGTCGATCGGGACCGAGCCAGAGGCTGGCGCGAAGAGGGAGGTGAGGCACATAGGGGTGGAGGTGAGGGAGCAGGACCTGGGTGTGCAGTCGGAATCGGAGGCCTGGAAGACGAAAGCAAGCCTGCTGGAGACACAGCTGAGGAAAACCCTGCAGGAGCTGCACACCGCCCACAGGAAGTTAGAGGCACTGGGCAAAGAGACGGCCGAGAAGGGGCAGGACGCCAAGCCATCTATGGCCGATGCCGTCATGATGACCAGCATTGGGTGGCAGGAGCTGCAGCAGTGGGGGCGGCCTGGTGAGCCCTCCCCCTTGCAGACCGTTGTCACCTTCAGCCAGCACCCCCCGTGCAGAGAGCAGAGGACGGTGGGAATCCAGGTGTACACCCTGGAGCAGCCCACAGTGGTCGGTGTGCGCAGTTTCCAGGAGACCACAACCACCCCCAGGAAAGACCAGGCAGAGTTCGTCCAGCAGCCCTCATGGGGCGAGGGGGGTGGCACTCATGCTGAGCTCACAGGCCTTGTGACAAAAGACCCCAATGGGCAGCAGGGCGGCACTGAGGCAGAGCTCACAGTGACTCACAGGAGGGAAGAGCCTCAGGAGACCTCCTTCCCAGTTCATTCCAGCAACCAGCTCCAGAAGAAGAGTGTGGAGGGACCAGTGTCAGTCCCAGGTAGGGGACACAGTGCAGAACTTACAGCTGAGTTTCCAGATCATGCTTTTAGCTTGACCTCAGAAGCAGGGTTTACATTTCCAATAGGAGATAGTAACTGGCATAGACATGTATCTAATTGTGGCAAGATAAACATGCACATATATGATGCACTTCACTTTCCCAGCTACAGAAGCAGTTAGCTGAAAAGAAATTGTCTTGATTCCTCTCCGTCCTTCTTCTTAAATGTCACAACCACACAGAGCATCGTAAAGTGTGATTTACATTTGCAGAAAATCAATGTTTTTAATTAGAGAATTAGATTTTTTAACTCTATAAAATATAGTAAAAAAGCAGTATATGAAA